CATTACATTTACCTAAAATTCCTTGGGAACATGCTTAGCTATACAACCATTGATCATTGATCTGGGTTATCTTGAGATGATTTCGAGGCTTAGCATTCCCATTCTCGACCAGGCCTCCTTTTTGTTACACACACCCCCAGGAAGCCGCCCGTAGCAGCTGTCTAACTCCCAGATACCAATTTACTGCTAGGTGAACAGAGCATCAGGGTGAAAGAAACTCTGCCCATTTGTTTCTGCTTCCACCAGGGTTTGAACCCAGAACCATAGGACTATGAATCCCAAGTGCTGTCCACCCAGCCTGATGGCTGGGGCCTGCTCAGGTTGCTACTGAACTAGGTACATCTTCATAAAGTGATACAGTATCTGAATGATGATAATTACTTATTTATGTATTTATATACAAGAATGTACATTGGGTTGAGAAAGTACATACATTGGGGTTTGAGTGTAACATTCTTGCAAAGCCACTATAACATGCGCAGCATTTTGGGCAGTTTCTAATCAATGTTTGTGTCACTTTGTTGCTTCCCCAATTCCCTTAATAACTAGGAATTTTGATTTAAGTGTCCAGGGAATAAACTGAAGAATTATCAGAGGATAAAGAAACAACTTTACTAGAAGCATATTTATATATTAATTATAAAAACATAACTACTTAGAGTGAAGTGACCTTATATGTAGAGATAACCGTCACCTAATTTATATTTAATAAATAAATTTAATTTAATTAATAAGGATAAAGTATTACACCTTATTCTATCTCTTAAGTTAATACATACTAATAATGAATAAACAGCTCCACATTGTTCACATCCATTAAACTACAATACCAATCATTTCATTATTGGCTACTTGTATACAGTAGTTCCTTGTTAAATTAACTGCATTCTAATGAATTCGTGGATGGTCTGAATTACTGTGTTTAATGCAAATTGTTCATTAGAACATACAAATGTTTAACTAAGGGCATGTAGCATTTTCAATATCATCCACGTAATACAAGTGTAAACTATTATATAGAGCTTAAAATTTTTAAGGAGGCCTAACATAGGATATTAAAAGTTGTTCAATGTCAACCAAACTTTTTTGACCAGTTGCATATGAAAAGGGCTGCAACTATTCCAAGTTTCAGTATTGCAGCCTAAATAGAAAGGGAGGTAAACAAATTATTTTTCAACAAATTTTCCAAATTGTAAAAAATTCGTTACAACTACAAGTTTCAAATGAAATAATTTCTATGACACTCATCTATCACATTAGCATATAATAAAGGATTTTACCAACCAGATTATCCAAAATATGTTTAGTTTTACTATTACAAGTTGTCAAATTTCCCAAAAAATTTATGCAAATATGTTTAAAAATATTTATAAAATCAATAAATGAACTTAGGAATAAAGTATCTTACATCAATTGTAGAGACATGAAACTTACACCTTATATGTAGAGTTTATGTAAATTGAATAAAAAATGAAAGAGTAGTCACTTTTGTTACTTGAAAAACACTGAAGTCAAAGATTCTACCACTTGTGGCTGAGGTTGACATCAACCAATGTCCTCGAAAATTGGCACCCTTACAGATAGGCTTATGTGCAGTAAGGTGTACAAGTTTCATGCAAATTGCCCAATAAAAAATTTGAGAAAAAATTAATTAATTTTTTTAACTAAATTTTTTTGGATAAAACTAATTACTAAAATCCTTTATTATATGCTATTGTGATAGCTGGGTCATAGACATGATTTCAGTTGACACTTGGGTTTGATGTTAATTTTTTAACATTTTGGAAAATTTTTGACACAAATATTTTTTTCTCCCTTCCTATTTATGCTACGATACTGAGACTTTTATCAGTTGAAGCCCTTTTCATATACAACTAGTCAAAAAAATTTGATTGAAATTGAACCAGTGTTCATTTATTGCATATTTTGAGGTTAGGCCCCTTAAACTTACATACAACAACCTTCAACAAGCCGCGAGCTTCCCGTCCTCGTCGAGGCCACTAGGGTTAGTGACCCTCGGGTAAATATTTTACAAATTATATTCTACAATACTAACACTTAAAATTTATACAGAACTTCCAAAAGTTAAACTATTATTACACTACATATTAAAGTTCATCCTTACCTAAAGGAATATTAATTAAATATATAAAACCAGCATTGAATGTAATGAAATGCTAATTTCTGGTTGAGCCACAGTGGCTTCCCAAAGCTACTGTCTGATATTATGCTATATTAATAATTCCCATCAGCTGCTGAGTTCTGTTGGCCTCCGGGGGATTATGAGTGCCGGAACCCTCACAGAGGCGCAGGGAGTGATGGCACTTGGGACAATTTTTTTTTTTTTTTCTTTCATGTCCTCCAACACCGCAGAAGGCACCCTCCCCACCATGTAAAAATCCAACATTATGTTTGTAACTCATCTTGTATGTACTTTTACCTAAATAAACATTCGATTTGAAAAATGAGAGGGAGATGGGGCAAATGTCTGGTTACTAGTTTCGTGAAGTTTCAATCATTTGTTTATATTGATGCGGAAGTTTTTTTGGTGGTTTTTAAGGCAGCGGTCTCGTCTGAAGTCAGCAGTGGTTTTTGTTTCATCGAATTTCTGGGTGACTTCCTAGGTGGTGGCAGACATGAAGATTTTTTTTTTTTTTTTTTACTTTTATCAAAAGTGCCACCACTCCCCGCACTTCTGCAAGAAAGCCATGTTCTGGCTTGTGGCCCCTCAGAAGGCCAATAGAACTCCACGACTGATGAGACTTGGTAGTACAGCAGAGATAACAGCTTCAAAAAGCGACAAGGGGCTCCCCCAGAAAAAAAAAAAAAAATAACAAAAATACTGTACTAAAATATGATATTATTATAAGTGTTATTGCCAGACAATAATAACACCAAATTAACAAAATAAATTCGAACATGTACTGGTCTGTTGGCTTGGTGAATGAAGTTATTTACTGCACTGTAATTTGCCATTTTCATTAACAAATTGTTTTACTGCAGTAATAATGGTGCTGAATATTGTAATAAAAAGTGGAAATGCATTTCCACTGAATAAAAACTGACTACACATAATTGTGCTGAAAGCTGCTAGTGTGATGAGGCAAGGCCCCATCACACCTTGTGATTTTTTTTTTTTTGTGGGGGGGGGGGGGAGGGTTGGAGGGGGAAGTCCTTCCAGGGCCAGATCTGTTTTTGGGCCCCAAGCCAAAACAGCTAAATTGACCCCACCGTCTCGTCAGTATGGGTATTCAAAGGCTACACAAATGTATGCTTGGCGCCTTCTTTTGATGATTACTTTCACATACACTGCTGGTGGGCCCTAGACCATAGCCTAATTTGCCTATCGGGGAATCTGGCCCTGCCTTCCTCCCCAAGATTGGGAATTAAGTTCTTAATCATTTTGCATTTTTTTCAATAATTATTGTACTGTATGTATATAAATTTAATATTGTTTGCCAAAGATTGCTCTTGTCAAGTGGCATTGTCAAAATGACGTGTAAATCCCTGGTCATTATGTAATGTTTGCACCACAACTAATTGTCAAATATGATTTTGATATTGAATTGTTCACAAATGATTGCTCTGTTACATGCTATGATCAAAATGAAAAATACATCAGGAATCAATTTATTTATATTATTTGTTAGAGTATAGTGTCGAACGAAATCGTCCTTGCCCCATGTAGTTCGTGAATGAGAGTTCATAATATATCTGGTAACAAATAAATAAATATTGATCAGTCTAAATAAGCAATACAGTATTAAAACTTAGGCCTGTATAAAACATTATTATAACTTCAATTATTATATAAACGCCCAAATAAATCATTATATGAATAAAGGCAGAAAAAAGGCCTAGCCTTGGTTAACCTGAATGAAATGCTCTCACATTGTAAATTCTGAAGTTAGGCTAATCTAAATGCAAAAGTCTGGCTAAAAGAAATGCCAGATTCATGTTAATATAAATGACAAAATAAAGAAAATACAATTTGCAGCTTTAAGCTAATACAAATTCCAGAGTAAACATAACATATTTGATGAAGTAAGGTTAATATATACTGCATATGTGCGACAGGTAAATAAAATGTCCACGTCACAAAAGTATAGCCTAACTGATCATGTGTGTCTAAAACAAATGTTAGTGACATAACTACAAATGATTCTGTAGTTTAATTTAAGTCATGAAGCAAGATAACACAAAAATCTATTAATGTAATTTAGTTGGAGTAAGGATACTAATATGTTGCTAGCTTCTGGATAAATAGCAGTTTTGTGATGTTAATAAAATGGGAACATCTTTAGTACATCTATAACTATTTATTGTTGTACCTGTATATGTATATAACATCTATAACTTTTTACCACGTTATGGTCTAGTTGCTAGAGCGTGTGCATGGGAACACCCACCCCATAGGTTCAAACCTTCCTCATGGCTCCTACGGAATTCTCAATAATAATAATAATAATAATATAACTATTTTTTATATTCCTTTCAAAATGTTTAATTAAATTAAAATACCCTTAACCTATTTTTTTAAGAGCCCTTAAATGTTAAGTATTATAAATAAAATACATGCAAAAAATAATTTTTTAAACTTAAGATTATCTTGGGAATATACATAAATATTTGTTTCATTTGGACTACAGTATCTTGATTCTTAAAGGGCTGCAACAAAGCCCATTGATTACACACAAGGAACAAATATCTATTTGATGTTCAAGAGCATGACTCGATCAAAGCAGAAATGCCATGCAAGTAAAAAGATCTAAATTATAGAATGACACTACACACACAAATCACAATAGCGTGATGCATCAAATGAACAAATCCACAAGGGCCGTGACGAGGGTTCGAACCTACGTTCGAGAGGATCCCAGACGCGCCTTAATCGACTGAGCTACAACATGGATAAGAATCTGTGGTAGGTCAAGTTGATTTCCCGGTTGCAATTCTTATCCATGTCGTAGCTCAGTCGATTAAGGCGCGTCTGGGATCCTCTCGAACGTAGGTTCGAACCCTCGTCATGGCCCTTGTGGATTTGTTCATTTATAGAATGACCTCCCTAATACTGTACAATAAAAATCTGTGCATCACTTGACCAATATTAAAGAGAAACAAAGAAATACTGAATTAACATCATGTAGCAAAATTCTCACACATTTCTTAATCCTGTTTGCAATTACAGTATTGTGGACATTAAATGCTGCATCTATACTGTTACTGTATTCTTGTTGCACACTAAAGCTACAAAATCTAAATTAGCCTATACATTTCCTTATTATGTATCACTTTAGAATATACAAACACTGTACTTATTAATTAATCACTGTAATCTGATCATTTGTATATCATATAAAGTATTATTATTCCCTCCTTAACCCATCCATACCACCCATAATACCAGATATTAAAGAGCCAGGGAGACATTAAACAACCCAGTCTTGTATCCACCCCAATATTAAACCCTCTCCAGGCTTTTTTTTTTGTTTACTCAATTTTATTAAGAAAACACCATTGTAAATATTTCTAAACAATTATATGGGTGCAGTAATAGCAGAGATGAGGTTTTGCCAATATTAACTACCATGAATGAAATGCTCACATATTAATGCAAATTCTTGAATTAGGCTAATATAAATACAAGTCTGACTACAAGAAATGCCAGATTAATGTTAATGAGTACAATGATTAATGAGTACAGTATAACTAATATAATTGATGAAGTTGGTAAAAATGAGTCAGACAAATATAACCTTACTACCAAAGTTTAGCTAAAATAAATGCTAGTGTGATATATTTCCAGTCATTTGTAGTAATATTAGTCATGAAGCAAGATAACAAAAAATCCATTAAATGATGCGTTTGGAGTAGGAATACTGTGGAGTTTCAAATTTCTGGATAAAAATCATTTTTTCTTGTCATTTAAATGTGGGTCATCTTTAGTACGTCCCAAAATGTCTTTCTATTCCATAAATGTTTAATAAAATCCTTAATGGAAAAAAATCTGTAACCAGTTAACAAAGACTATAATATATTTTAAATATTTCTCCTGAGGTTCCAAATGTAAAGTATTAACAAAATATGATGGAAACATGTTTTAAACTTTGTTTTATCTAAAAAAAATACAAATATATAAGTTCACATATTGACTATTTGGAGTTTTACTGCCATTGCATCCTTCCTAGTGCTTGCTTGGTTGGAGGTGCATATAAATTTTACTAATGAGCTGAAGATTGAATTAAAGCTTGTACAGCACCTATGCCTTCTGTAGCCAAGCAATTCCTCACACAAAATTACAAAAACAATTTTGAAGGAATTCCAAATAACATGGTGACTTTACAGTATATTTTAACTTGAGTTCAACATTTTCATGTCTGTTTGTAGGATGGCTAACACAATAATTGCATTGTACTTTGGAATTGTGGAAATTTTTGTCCTAGTGAGGTTTATCACAAAAATGTACTAATATGTGATGTATTATGCTATTACGGTGCCTAAATTGCATGCCACACTCGGCACACTCGAAAGGTTTATCATTTGTATGCATCATTCTGTGAGTCTTCATAGATTGAAGTTGATTGAATCTTTCCCCACATTCTGGACATTCATAAAGTTTATCAACTAAATGAATCCTCATATGCCTTTTCATATTTTCAAGTTGACTGAATCTTTTCCCACACTGTGGACACATTTGAGGTTTATCTCCTGTGTGGACTAACATGTGTATCTTCATATTATCAAGACGACTAAAGCTTTTTTCACATACTGGACATTCATGAGGTTTATCACCAGTATGCAACAACATGTGAGTCTTCAAAGATCCTAGACGGCTGAAGCTTTTCCCGCACTCCCGACATTCATGAGGTTTATCACCTGTATGCACTGACATGTGTGTCTTCAAATTTCCAAGATGGGTAAATCTCTTCCCACACTCTGGACACTCTTCAGGTTTAATACCTTTATGAACTAACATGTGAGTCTTCAAATTATCAAGACGACTGAAGCTTTTCCCACACTCGTTACATAAATGAGGTTTATCACCTGTGTGCACCAACATATGACTCTTCATAGATCCAAGACGGCTGAAGCTTCTCCCACACTCTGGACACTGGTGAGGTTTATCACCAGTATGCACCATCTTGTGAGTCATCAGATTTCCAAGTTGACTGAATCTTTTCCCGCACTCTGTACACTCGTACAATTTATTACCTGTATGAATCGTCATATGTCTCTTTACATGTCCAAGTTGACTAAATTTCTTTCCACACTCAGAACATTCATGAGGTTTATCACCTGTATGCAACAACATGTGAGTCTTCATATTTCCAAGAAGAGTGAATTTTTTCCCACACTCTGGGCACTGGTGGGGCTTCGCCATCTTCTTTCTGATTTATAGTTCCCGTGAAGGTTATCGCCCCCTGATGAGTGACAAAGTTACCTTGTGACGTGTGGCGTCTCCTGAAGGCACAACACTCTTGTTTGGTAAGACGATTAAGTCTTTTTGGCGTTGTTTGCCTTGTACTCTCTATTATGTTGACTTGAGTAATAATGGCTGTTGTTTTGATGGCGTCCGTCGCTTATATTCCTTTGTCAAATTATTCATTTTCTTAATTATAAATGTTTGGGTATACTATAATATAAAGAATATCCCATTCTTTAATATTAATTTTTTGTGTCCAGGGATAAACCCTTCATACAACCCGCACATGCCATCAAGAAGAACTCCTGAGTACCTGCAAGCTGATCTGCAGTATTAAGTGGTAGGAAATGCGCCCAACCATTTCTGTCCCGCCCGGGATTCGAACCCGGAATTTTCGATTGTGCGTTAAGAATGAACCCGGGACAGATTTACTTGCATATGTAATGCTAGTTATAACACTGTGGTCGTAGGTTGGGTAGGTAACCGTAGGTAACATTATTCAAGCGTAGGTTAGATATAAATATGAATGAGTTTGGGTAGATATAAATAGCCGCCACGTACATGAATGTAAGAGCTCTTGTATCTAAAAATAAATAAAAAATATAATAAATGGCCCAATTGGCCTAATGCAGTTAAATATGAATATAAGAATCAAGTGATGGCAAGTTTCTTGGCCTATTCCTAGACAAGAGACTCAACTTCAGCACCCACATTCAGCACATAACTAAGAAAGTCTCTAAGACAGTTGGTATACTCTCCAAAATCAGATATTATGTTCCTAACTCTGCTCTCCTCTCACTATATTATGCACTAATCTACCCCTATCTTAATTATGATATCTGTGCATGGGGGTCTACCACTGCAAACCACCTTAAGCCCATCATCACACAGCAAAAATCTGCTATCAGAATAATAACTAACTCTGCTTTCAGACAACACTCAGCTCCCTTGTTTAAATCCCTAAACTTGTTAAATATTAACTCCCTCCACACATTCTCTTGTGTCAACTACATTTACAAAACCCTGTTCTTAAATGCAAACCATGCTCTGAAACTCTCTCTGGACAGATGTAATAGGACCCATTATCACCACACCAGAAATAAATATCTCTTTGATACCCCCAGGGTCAAGCTTAATCTGTGTAAACACTCTATGCAAATTAAGGGACCTAGTCTATGGAACTCACGCCCTAGTGAATTGAAAAACTGTAAAACTTGTAAACTTTTAATGTACATTCTTGTATATGCATAAATAAATAAATAAATAAATAAATAAATAAATAAATATGTTATCTGAATTTACCTGAGCCACTAGTACTAGTGACCGCGACGAGGACATCAAGCCGGCGGCTTGTCAAAAGTCACCATTTGCCTTGATTTTTTCCTTGCTGAATTTGATTTTTTTTAAGGGAATCTAATAAGCCATGGGTTTATAACCCTGTGGGTGAAAAAAACATTAAATGTTTTCAGTCCTCCATTGTGGCATGTTGAGCTTGAACCTGAGACTCTTTATTTCTGTTGCAACTGACATTTTCAGGGTCCCGGTAGTATTTATTTCTTTATTTATTCATTCATTTATATTGTACAAAATACAAATACAGTCGGGATCGTTCTCGACGCACAATCAAGAATTCCTGGTTCGAATTCCGAACGGGACAGAAATGATTGGGCACATTTTCTTTCACCTAATGCGTCTGTTCACCTAGCAGTATGTAGGTACTCAGGAGTCAGCTTGTTGTGTGGGTTGCATCCTGCGCGAAATTAGTAATTCGACCTTGAGAGGGGGACCTCGATAAAAAACAAAAAAGCCTAATGTGTATGAATACACTCTGGCTTTTTACCCCCCGACACAATGAATTATTATTATTATTATGAAGAAATTGTCTGGATTGTAGCGAGTAGATTATCCCAATAATATACTCGCTCCAAATATAGTGTTAATATTCCTGTCAACCTTTGGAGATGAATGAGGTGAGGCGTTGCCCGGGCAACACGGTGAGGTGTTGCCCAAGCAATATAAGCAGCGGTGTAGCGAACATTGGCTAGTCTACTTTCAAGTGTGGTCTAGAGCAGACACTTGCGAGATACTGTACCAACGCTCAGTGCGCTCAACTCACACCAACGTATCACCTGTGTACTTCTGTATATTCGACCAAATATATATATAGTATCTTAGTGTCTGTGTTTATTTGTCACCATACTTTACGTAACAATAGAACCGTTACATTGGTGACCCAGTGAGTGAAAAGAACACCTAGTCACAAACTAGATCTTCGTCATGGATTTATCTACCAGGTTTCCAGCATACAACGCAGATGAGCCAGAATTTTGGTTCATGCAGATGGAGGCTATTTTCGACCTTCACGAAGTTTCGACGATACCCAGCCACGATGGACTATCACTGGACCTCTAGTGCTACTGTTTGCTGTGATGGAATACTGCCAACACCCTCGCCACAGCTATGATTTTCATCGCGTCCATCTCTGCAGTTTCATCTACTACGGCTTGCTGCTCCACGATCGTTACTCACTCATCTGACAGCCTCATCAATGATTACATCATGCTGGATCTACAGCTTGTCCTGCCGACTCTCCGTCGCTGCCAGGGCACTGCTTGTCCTACGCCCACGACAGCTGCTCTGTCATCAGATTCATCTACACGTTCACTGCATTTTGATACTCAGCCGACTCAAGCCCTTTGTGCAATACAGGACTTACAGCTTGCGTTTCCGACTCTTCGTCGCCTCCAGGACAATTCAGCTCTAGCAGTGATTACCTCGTTGTCCTAACTACGTGCCTACATTACCTCCTAATGTCCTGGTGCCCGAGCCCATCCGCCCCGGATCTAAATGCTCCACCAGCGACCCAAGGACGCAACAATTATGCACATTCTTCTCTCCTGCTACACCGAGCTTGTCCACACACTGCCTACATCTTTTGGTACCAGACTACAATTTCCACAGTCAACAATGTAGTACTCGGCGTGTACAGTCCTAATCAACCCAAGACGCTACAGCTTAGACACAGAGCAGACAGCAGACTACGACCGCATCGAGCCGCCACGCTCTCGCTCCCCGAGTTTAGACACTCACAAATCTCAATCGAGCCGCCACGCTCTCCCACATAGAGCTCCACGACTCCGGCCTCACTCAGCTCTCTGCTCTGCTCCAGGCTTCGTCTCAACGTCTGCGACACTGCTAAATCCAGAGACACATCCGCCGACTACGCAGTTCACTTTTCGACCCCAATTACCAGCCGCACCACAACCCTCCTACGACGACGGACGACCTCCCAGCACAGGATCCTCCTACGACCCCAGTTAGATGACATCAGCGAAGAGGAGGAAGTTAACTTTGATGGTTATGTAACGCGAGCAGGGCGTACAATTCACCGACCAGCTAAGTTCCTTGATCAATTATTTTTCCTTTCATCCCCTGGGAGGGGGAGTTCTGTAGCGAGTAGATTATCCCAATAATATACTCGCTCCAAATATAGTGTTAATATTCCTGTCAACCTTTGGAGATGAATGAGGTGAGGCGTTGCCCGGGCAACACGGTGAGGTGTTGCCCAAGCAATATAAGCAGCGGTGTAGCGAACATTGGCTAGTCTACTTTCAAGTGTGGTCTAGAGCAGACACTTGCGAGATACCGTACCAACGCTCAGTGCGCTCAACTCACACCAACGTATCACCTGTGTACTTCTGTATATTCGACCAAATATATATATAGTATCTTAGTGTCTGTGTTTATTTGTCACCATACTTTACGTAACAATAGAACCGTTACAGGATCAACATCCTCCAAATACAAAATTTTTGCCTTCGGGTAAATAAAATTATTTGACCGAAACGTTGTGAGTATATGGCTGTAGGCCATGGTATGTGTTAGCTATATATATAGAAATCCAACAATCGCTTTGTAAATCATTTTGAATGTATGTACTTTTACCCGAGTAAACATTATTATAGAAATTGTTCAGTATTTTAAAGGTCTCAATGAGATCCGCCCTGTCATGTCTGGTTTGCTCAGTTGTTAGCCCTGAGATCCTCAACCATTCCTGGTGCAAAAGTTGACTTAGTTTTGGAATGATATTTGTCGCCTGGTGTTGTACATTCTCTAAAGCAGCTATGTCCTCCTCAAGATGAGGTCTCTATGCTAGGATACAATAATAAAATGGATGTTGTTGTTTCGTAAGATTCAGCTACTGGGAACTAAAAGTTCCAAGTAGCACGGGCTATTGTGAGCCCGTGGTGGACTTACCTGGCACAGGAGCGGGGCTGAAACTTAAACACTTACACGCCCTCCACGAAATTCTATTTGCTGACGACACAACCTTCATTTACTCCAGTCCTGACCCCCTTGCTCTAAATGCCACAGTAAATACTGAGCTAAATAAAGTCCATCTTTGGCTAACTGCCAACAAACTCACCCTTAACATTGACAAAACTTTCTATATTCTGTTTGGCAATAAATCCTCTAATCAAATAAATCTTAAAAATAAACAATACCCAAATTTGTAACAAATTAGATGGCAAATTCCTTGGCGTTCTTATTGACCACAAGCTGAATTTCCAGGGACACATTCTAAATATATAAAAAAAAAGTTTCAAAAAATGTAGGCATTCTTTCTAAGATCAGATATTATGTACCCCGCCCTGCCCTGGTGACTATCTACTACTCCCTCATCTATCCATATCTCAACTATGGTATTTGTGCTTGGGGTTCTACTACCCAAAATCATTTACGTCCTCTAATTACTCAACACAAAGCTGCTATTAGGACAATATCCAACTCTGGCCCCAGACATCACTCGGTACCCCTATTCAAATCTCTGAATATGTTAGATATTAAGTCACTGCACATTCTCTCATGTGTATTATACATATATAAAACGCTGAACTGTAATGCCAATCCTGACCTCAAAAGCTTCATTGAAGGTTGTAACAGAACCCATGAGCACCACACCAGAAATAAATACAGTTTTGATATTCCTAGAGTACGACTTAATCAAACTAGAAATGCTCTACAAATCAAGGGTCTCAGAATGTGGAATGACCTTCCCAACCATGTTAAAGACTGTACCTCTCTCAACCAGTTTAAGATAAAAACGAAGCACTGCCTAATAAATTCTCTGTAACCTGCCCTACCCCTCTATTGT